TCCTCTCTCTCTCTCTCTCTCTCATTTTCTTTGAAGGTCCGTCAATGGCGTCTCAGATCTAAGGAACTCTGTTTTGTTGTTATTTTGTTGTTGCGAATCTGTGGAGAGTTGTGAGGAGCTTTGAGCTGGTTTAAAGAGCTGCGACATTCTTCTTGGTGAGGAAGGGAAGGAGAAATTAGGGCTAATTTTTTTTGTTGTGTTTTTGAGATGCTGAGAATGGCGAGTACGTTTCAGGAGGATGTGTTGGAGCATGTGTTTTCGTTTATACAGTGTCATAAGGATAGGAACTCGATCTCGATGGTGTGTAAGTCGTGGTATGAGATTGAGAGGTGGTGTAGGAAGAGGATTTTTGTTGGGAACTGTTATGCGGTGAGTCCTCAGATTGTAATCAGGAGGTTTCCGGAGGTGAGATCTGTGGAGTTGAAGGGGAAGCCGCACTTTGCGGATTTTAGTTTGGTGCCCGATGGTTGGGGTGGGTATGTTCATCCTTGGATCGTGGCTATGGCTTCTGCGTATCCTTTGCTGGAGGAGATCAAGTTGAAGCGAATGGTGGTGACGGATGAGAGCTTGGAGCTCATTTCCAAGTCTTTTAAGAATTTTAAGGTTCTTGTGTTGATGACTTGTGAGGGATTCAGTACTGATGGGCTTGCGGCCATTGCTGCCAATTGCAGGTTTGTGGCTCTTTGGTTCTCTTGTTTTTGGCTTCCGTTTTGAGGGCTTTGCGAGTGTGTGAAATGGGGAAACGGGGTTAGAGTGAACATTGTGGATGAGAGAGAGTACCACGTCTTGAGACAGTTTAATCTTTTGTTATTTTTCTTGGTTTCCTCTTGTTGGATTCTCTTTTCTTTTGTACAGAATTTCATATCTTGTGGAATGTTATTTTGGGTGGGATGAGCAAACACCATTGAGCTAAGCTGAGCTGAGCTCAAAGTTAGCTCACTGGGAACTTTCGAGGTCTTCTATTCGCTGTAGGCTTAAAATGTCTTTTATGAGTAGATTTAGCCATTTATTCTTCTTGTTCTTTCCATTTTTTGGGGGACTGGCGTGGGGTTCGGAGGGATGTTGTGGAGGATAAGCTGTTACTTTCTTTCGGATATGGGATCCATTAGTCTGGTTCGCTTGCTGTCTTTTCTTACCGAACCATAACCCTGTATTGTTTGGGTACACAGTGATTGTTAAGGATATTATTAATCTGATCTAGTTTGTCTCGAGCTTCCTTGAACTTCAATTCTGCTTTGAGCTTGAGTTTTGTTTTCTCTTTCTTGAAGATCTAAGGTTAATAAAAAGAATTTCGAGCTGGTATCTTTTTGCCCAGTGTTCAATTTGGCTGCATTGTCTCGTTTTTTCCTTTGACTTGTGAATTTTCGAGCTTAAATTTATTGATTTCGAAGATCAGTATCTCATTTATCATTGTGGCTTACAAGGTGGTTGTTGGGTTGGGGATTACTATTTGTCAAGTGAATGATTTTGATAGTGCACAAGGCGACATGGTTTTCTTTTCCTGTTAAGCTTATGGAAGTTCATTTTGTGGATGTCGCATAGTGCTTGAGAATTGAGTGGTGGGTGACACATAGGGCAAGGGTTTTTATTTTTTCTATGGTCTCCTTATCATTGAAGGCGTGGGTTTTTCTTGTGCGTTAGTGTGTTTTCTTTCAGCTTTTGAAGTCTTTATTCCTTGTATTTATACGGATGGTTGTTGGCTGATCCAGGAATTTGAAAGTGTTGGACTTACGAGAGAGCGATGTGGAAGATCTGAGTGGACATTGGCTCAGCCATTTTCCTGATAAATATACGTCACTGGTATCCCTCAATATTGCCTGTTTGGTGTCTGAGGTGAGTATTTCTGCATTGGAGCGTCTCGTGGATAGGTGTCCAAACTTACGGACACTGTGGCTCAATCGTCCTGTTCCCCTTGATAGGCATCCCAACCTACTTCGTCGTGCACCACAGCTAGTTGAGTTTGGTGCTGGATGCTACACAGCGGACTTGAGATCTGATGTTTTTTCGAACTTAACAACAGCATTCACAAGCTGCACAGAATTGAAAAGTTTATCTGGATTTTGGGATGTGGTTCCTGCATACCTTCCTTCCGTTTATCCCACTTGCTCTAGGTTAACATCCTTGAACTTGAGCTATGCAACAATTCAGAGTGACGATCTTACCAAGCTTATCAGTCAATGCCATAATTTGCAGAAGCTTTGGGTATTTCCTTGTCCTTTTTTTCTCCTTCTAATAGTGCATTTCCCTTCAACATAGTGCTATGTTTAGCTTCAATCTTTGTAAATGGTCTTAGTTCAAGATGCACTGTAACTGCAGGTGCTGGATTACATTGAAGATTCTGGCCTTGAAGCCCTTGCAGATACTTGCAAGGATCTTCGAGAATTAAGAGTGTTTCCATCTGAACCATATGGTCCAGAACCAAATGTGTCTTTGACAGAACAGGGTCTTGTCTCTGTTTCTGAAGGTTGCCCAAAGCTCCAATCCGTTCTGTACTTCTGTCGTCAAATGACAAATGCTGCCTTAGTGACCATTGCCAGAAATCGACCAAACATGACACGATTTCGTCTCTGTATTATGGAGCCACGAACTCCTGATTACCTCACAAATCAGCCGCTTGACGTGGGCTTTGGTGCCATTGTTGAGCATTGCAAGGATCTCCAACGCTTTTCCCTCTCTGGCCTTCTTACAGATAGATGTTTTGAGTACATTGGGAATTATGGCAAGAAGCTAGAGATGCTATCTGTGGCATTTGCTGGAGATACTGATTTAGCACTTCATCATGTGTTGTCCGGATGTGATAGTCTTCGCAAGCTGGAGATTAGGGACTGTCCTTTCGGTGACAAAGCTCTTTTGGCGAATGCTGCAAAGCTCCAGACAATGCGATCCCTTTGGATGTCTTCTTGCTTGGTGAGTTTTGGAGCATGCAAATTGTTAGCTCAGAAGTTTCCCAAACTTAATGTCGAAGTTATAGACGAGAGGGGTCCCCCAAATATAAGGCCCGAAAGTTGTCCGGTGGAAAAACTTTATATATACCGGAGTGTTGCTGGGTGTCGCTTAGACATGCCTGGTTTCGTGTGGACAATGGATGGAGATGCTTCTCCAAGGCTTACTTGATGCAACAACTGCAACAACCCAGTGTCAAAGCCTAGCAAGTGAAGCTCACATAATGGGAATGGAGATGGTAGTAGGTACATGACCTTTATATGCTCTATTCAGTACACTCCTAATGTAGTTCTCTGTGTCAATAACATAATTTGCAGCTCTAATTTAAATGGAGCGAGGTACATTTACAGAGGCAGAGGAACTCCATTGCCATTCATTTTATACTTTACCTGAGCTGTGGGGGGATGGATAGACAGACAAGCATTATAAGTGATCAATAAAGATATCAAAGTTTCTTCAAAACTTCATTGTACTGTACCCGAATTCGCAGTCACCACGCATACTATGGGCAGAATCTTTTGCTTGTATGTTCATTAGACATTCATTTCAGATTTCAACTGAACTTAGTTCTTGTCCTAAATCCATTCTGGTTTCTCAATGCCTTGCTCGTTCATTATTCTATCGACGAATGTGATACCGACTAATCCAATGATATGCATCGTCCTCTGCAATCTGCTGTTAAGATTAGATTACATGGAAACATAGTCGTAGAGAAACTTGAAACTCAGACTGACCCACTTGAGATTTCAGTAAACGAGCTGATTTGTGTAGAACAGAACTGAGTTGTGTTGAGAATTAAGGATCTGTTTCAAAAGTATGAGAGGAAGAAGCAAGAGAATAGTTGGGAAGTGTAGCAGTGGGATAGAGAAAGAAGGCTTTATCGAATGTGGAGCCAGGCAGCAGAGAGATTGGAAGCTTTTTTATTGTTTTCCCTGTTGGGTACTTCGTTTATTATTCTTGTTGATTGATGGGTTTCTATACTTAGCAGGGCAGAAGAAGGAAGAACACCTGAGGAGATGACCAAATACAAAAACAAACAGAGTACTTAAAGCCTGCAACTCCATGTTTAAGTGCTTTTATTAATTGGTCTGATGAGCCTGCCAGAGCAGAAGAAGAGAGAGAAAAAGAGAAAGAGGAGAGAGAGAGGAATTGGTGTGAGTTGCTGCAGAGTGAAAGTAACTCAACAGAGACAGCGCAGATCAGAGCAGAGCAGATCAGAGCAGATTTATGCAATGTGATGAACAAGAAAAAGAAAAAAGGAATAGGAAAAAGGAAAAAGCAGGTCAAAGAGACGAATCTGTTTCTGTGAGAAAGTGGGTTTGTGGTTTGTCAATTTTCAGACAGATTTATTGGTTGATGATATGCCCCACACGTTGCCCTTCTTCTTCTTCTTCTTCTTCTTCATTCTCCATTTTTTCCCTTTTTCTTTTTTACTTCTTCATATATTTATATATATATTCCTATCTAAAATGATTATATTAGTGTTTTTTTTTTAAAATGTGTTTTTAATATTATTATAGCTTTTACTCTCTCGGACTTTGTTTTATTTTGATCTGTATGCTCGAAACTTCTCTCTCGGATTGTTTATTTTTTATTTTAAATTTAGTTTGTACTTTTTAAATCTCTCTTTAAATTCTCGTGTTTCTAAAGGAGGGTTTATTTTGATCGATTTATTATTTGTTATTTTTCTCGTGAACTTCGCTTATTAAAATTTTGAAATATAGCCATAAGTTTGTGTTAAAAAATATTTATTATGTATAAATTTGTGAGCGGAAAAGTACGAGCTTGAAAATACTTGGATTATAATGCGTATGATTAATAAGTATTATTGAGAGAACCAAACATTTATTTATGATAATTTCTCATGACATACTAAACACATTATTAAGCTAAATCTCTAACCAAACGATGATTTAGAGGTTAAAATTATTAGAAATTATAACTTCCAAAATAAGATACGAAACTTCAATGATTCTTTCTCCGGTCAACTTTTGAATATTTTCATGTAAAATTGACCCGACGTTCTACGCTACTAAATTTATCACGAAATTGGGGTACCGACGGAAAAAAATGTGACATTTTTACATTTTTGTCCTCCACTAATCTAAACAAACAAAAACGACCCAACGGCCGCATTAAGTACAGGGAGAAGAATCAAAGAGCTTTATAAAGACTTGAGCACAAAGACTTGACTTGAGTCACTTTATATTGACCAGAGGAAAGGGTTCAAGAGGCTCAATTTTGAGGCTTTTATTTGGGAAGGCAACTGGTTTTTTTGCTCTGTAAATCTGATGGGGAAGCATTGTTGCTCAACTGGTGATGCCGATGGATTTGGATTGAATCTTATGGGACTTCTGCTGGCTATTGTTATAGCTCTCACCCTCATGGTCATATGCCAGCCTCGACCACACCGAGCTTATATACTGTGTCGTTTGCCTTGAGATTCGACTCCAATCGAATCGTCCCGAAGCTTCCAAGTTTGATTCTTGTACGGTATAAATCTTTGTTTGTGATTCAGCTTGAGAATGATCTTTAATACTGGAATTGTAATATGTTGGATAATCTTAGAGGATGATCGGTTTCATTTAGAATTTACCCATTCCTTCTTGAATAAAACCGTCTTGTGATGCTGAATTGAGTTATGTGGATATTATAATGTTGGCTAGTCGATGAGATGCTGAGTTTTTTCATCCCGAACATGCCATTCCAATTCTATTGGAACTTGCTCGTGATTGATGCATCTCGAACATTCGAACAATTTGTGTTTGTGTGTATGTAGATCTATCTATGCATGATAAAGGGAGTACTTGGTAATCGAAGTAAACCATGTCCTGTCCTATGAAACTTAGATTCTTGGTTACGAGAATGCTAAAGAATCTAACGGATAGTATTGAATGCCACCTAACTAGTTTAGATACTCGTCGAGTTTCAACACCTAACTTTAGATAAACTAAGCATAACTCAATTAGTTAAGACATATACCTTATATCAAGGACCAAAGTTTGAGTCTCCCCTCTCCTACACGTTGATGAACGCCATAAAAAACACCTACAAATCGACGGCACGTGTATCATTTCATGAATCCTTAGAATTTGATTGTAAAATGAAGCAAACTAGAAGGTACAAGGGAAATATACATACTAAAGCGAACAAAATTTTGTTTCACAAAGTCCTCAGTGGTTCATTGAGGCGCCAATGGTCTCCAAAAGATGCTCAATTCGGTACTTCATAACTGGCTGCCCTTTTTGTGTCCTTTTGAACATTTTCTCCCTCGTGGAGTTTCTTCTAGCTTTAGCTCTTTCTCGTTCTTCCTTTTTTGCAGCAATAATGGCTTCTTTCTCCATTCTTGCTTTCTCTTTCTCTTGATGCTTTCTCTCATACAGTCCCTGGAGACTAGGTACGCCTTTATTCCTTTCGTTCCCACGTCTTCCATTCGTCTTATTCTCGAATTTCATTTCATTTTCACCCTTTAAGAACCAGGAAGAACAGTAGTTTGAGCACGCACGTGATGTGTGCTATATACAGCAGATTCTTTTCATAACAAGAATGGAATGAAAACAGATGCTCGTTGGGTTCAATGATCAACAAATAGTGATGGATGGAGGAGTTTATAAGTTGGGTTGGACTGAATTCAGATACCTTGAAATCCAATCTACTTGCTCTCATAGTAAATACTTTCAACAAAACAATCATGACTATGGAATATTCAGGTGGGTTTAGGTTATCAAGGGTTCCTTGTTCAAAACCGTTTTTATCAATGTTATTGTTAACTTGTATAGTTCACCCTCTTTGGCTCTACCATGAATTAGCTAGTAATCGGTCTTTCAGAACGAGATCTACCTACACAGTAACGGTATTTAATTACGAAGATTAGTTAGGTAGCTGACTCTCTTAGTTCGTTCTTGGAAGAATAAGGCTATAATCCTTCATGGATAAGCATTTGTTATTAATGGGAAATTCTTTTTCATCTAAAATTGAATACACAATAAAAGGATATGACAAACTTTGAATTACTCGACTCTTAATCGCCTTAAGGCAAGAGGCAACAAAAAGGCATGACCTGAACGAGGCGTGACACCAGTTTTTCTCAATAACAAGAATTGGAATAAACAGATGCTCATTAGGTTCAATGTCTATCGGAATCACAATCAACAAATAGTGACAGAGGCACCAGAAATAACTTCAACAAACAAAAAGAAACAAAGCCTCTCTCTCTCTCTCTCTCTCGATAACAAGAATGGAACGGCAAAACAAGTAGTGACCTGAAATAACTTCCATAACCAAAAAGAAACAAAACTCCCATCTTTCTCTCTTTATAGGACAATTTGCAAGATCTCACATCGGTTGAAGAGGGGAACGAAGGGGTGTGGAAACCTCTCCCTAGCAGACGCGTTTTAAAAACCTTGAGGGGAAGCCTGAAAGGGAAAGCCCAAAGAGACAATATCTTCGAGCGGTGAGTTTGGACCGTTACAAATGGTATCGGAGCCAGACATCGAGTGGTGTGTCAACGAGGATGTTGAGTCTCGAAGGGGGTGGACTGTGAGATCCCACATCAGTTGGAGAGGAGAAGAAGCATTCTTTATAAGGGTGTGGAAATCTCTCCCTAGCAGATGCGTTTTAAAAACCTTGAAGGCCCTTTCCCTCTCTTTGGGAGACACGTTTTAAAAACCTTAAGGGGAAGCTCAAAAGAGTAAACCCAAAGAGGACAATATGAGGGGAAGCCTAAAACGAAAAATCCAAAGAGGACAATATCTACGGGCGGCGAAAGATATCTTATGAAATATTCTGCTAGAACATTTTTTCATTCTTCCATTCGGATAAAAAACAAAAAAAAAGTATCTCAAGAATACAAGACTTAGCAATCAATGAAGGTTAACAAACATAATTGAAATCTTAGGATGGTAGATACTTATTATCAAAACAACATACCTCGACAAGTCCAACAGATGAGCTAGATGGCCTCTCATTCTGATTATTCTGATGCTTTACCAACTTCTTATACTTGTTGACATGTTTAGCATTCTTATAGAACTCTCTTTGCTTTTCTGAACAAAAGATACATAAACAAATACCATCAAAATTCATAACCTATTCTATCACCAGAAGAAATTCACATAGCTTCAATCTGAAACATCCAATTCCCTAAACCAAGCCATTAAACACGATATTGCATTGTATTCCCCCAATTTTTGAACTCCACACAAATATTGGATTTACAACAAAACTCGAACCCCATAACAAGTAAGCAAAAGCCCAAAACCTAGATTTAACAGAATCATCAACGAGCGGCAGTGAAAAAAAACTAAAAAGCCATGAAGAGAGAGAAGTAAAAATTTTAGAAGAATCATACTTATCAAAGCTGGATTATAGTAATCAGTAGTTGATTTCGCATTCGCAAACGCCTGGGGCGAAGGGCCCTTCCCTCCCAATCGTTTCATGTTCTTGTGTTTATTAGCCTTCATGAACTTCGATTTCGAGCGAGTCTGTTCTTCGTCTTTTCCAGCTCGGTTCTTCATCGTTGGAAAGAAAATTTTGCAGAGAGATTGATTGAAACTGAGAACAATAAGGGCAAAAACACAGAGAAGGAAGAGGAAACAGATGCCAAGAGACAGAGAAGGTACGGTAGAGATTCCCTGTGGTCAATAGTCAAATAAGTTTTCTTGAATATCCAATAACAACGCGACACGTTTCAGTTTATTATTATTTTTTAAATTGGAAAAAAAAAATTGTCAGAAGTGGGATTTGAACCCACGCCCTCTCTCGAAGACCAGAACTTGAGTCTGGCGCCTTAGACCACTCGGCCATCCTGACACTTTTTGTAATAAATTCTTAAAGATAATATAATATATATATTAAGTCACAAAATTCAAAACTAAATAAATATACGTTTATATTGAGCATATAGGGCAAAGCTTAGTAAATTAGACGTGCCATGTCACCATCAACCCGGTACAAGGAAGTTGATCGGTGGGATCCCTTAATGGGTTGCACCACGGACCAACCTTGAGAAGGGTTTGAGTGTGAGAATGTCTGTCGGGACTCGAAAGATGGTGAAGCCAGATGGCGACGTGGACGGTCCACTGAACCTTATCATTTAGAGGAAGGAGAATTCGTAACGAGTGAAGTTGCGAAGGATTACTGTTAGATGTCTAAACATCAAATGACCCATGAACTAGTTTACAAACTTTTTGTGTCCGGTGGATTGTGCCCCCTTTAATGTGTCGGAAAACTTGTAGGCAGCCCACTGCTTGGCATTTATTTCTGTCAGAGGCATTAAATGCGAGTAAATATTTTCCCCAACTTTCGGCTTTGAATTTCTCCTTCTCTGGTTGAGAAGCTCGGGCTTCTTCTTGCTGAAAGATGCAGCAGATGAATGGCGTGGAAAGCAATATTAAAGCTTTGGAGAGAAGAAGAAGAAGACTGAGATGGCCGTTTGATGCGGTTCTGAGATTTTTGGGTCTGGTTTTCACTTTGGTTGCTGCTGTTGTTGTTGGCGCTGATAATGAGTCGAAGATTATCTCTGTTACGCTCATCAAAAGCTTGCCTCCTATCCATTTTTATGCTTCTGCTAAGTGGCGATACTTGTCTGCTTTTAAGTGAGCTTTCATTTCTCTCTCTCTGTTTATGATATCTCTGGGTTTTGGAGGTGCCTTCATGGTGTTTGATAAAATGCCTGAATGAAAGTTTTGAATGTAAATCAATCGTTTTTTATCATTTTGTTTCATGGATACACCAACAAATACCTGAGTTCTTTTGTTACTACGTGGGTAGAAGATTTGAAGGTTCGACCTCTTGATCGAGAGTATGTGTTGTATGTTTTATGTTAGTTGAGCTATATTTTTGTCATTATTATGATTACAGTTTAGCCTCTTAGACTTTCTATTTGGTTAAAACCCGCTGCGAGCCTTCATCATCTCCTTTTATGTGTTATTCAACCTCATTTACGTTCCAAAACTGTTTTCTCTTTGCTTTTCGATTGTTTTATGGTCACGTCTCATAATTTTCTTTCGCATAGGTACTTTGTGGTGTCGAATTGTATAGCATGTGCGTATGCAGCAGTGTCGTTGGTGTACTCGGTGGCGACCAAAAGTTACAAAGACAATCCAATGAAATGGATGTTGCTCATGACCTTTGACCTGATCATGGTAGGGCTATTGTTCTCTGCCGATGGTGCTGCTGCAGCCATTGGAGTCATCGGTCGAGCTGGGAACTCACATATGCAATGGATAAAAGTCTGTGGTTTCTTTGAAGGGTACTGTCACCACTTCACAGCTGCACTTGTTATCTCCATTGCTGGTTCTGTCATGTTTCTTTGTTTGGTTGTGCTTTCTGCTTTGAATCTTTACAAGAAATGAAATTAGGAGATTGACTATGAGCTTGTTTTTGGTGGGTTTGGCTGGATTCGTTTCACCCTAGAGTCAAATTATAAACATACCTAACATTTCTATGTTCATCGTCCGGTTAATCTGTACTTAGCTTTCTAAACTTTCAATTTTAGGTTCCTAACTCCAACCAAAGTTTAAGAAACACACCACTAAGAATGTTATGCACATTCCAACAAGTTTTGTTTCAATTCTCCATTCGAACCTACTCATGTAAATTTTTCATGTATCGAAAGTTTATTTACTTGTGAGAATACAGAATCGGGTGAAGAACCTCCATTACAAGCTAACATTCAAGAGGGCTGCCCTCTCCCTTTCTGTAGTACCGAACGAAAATGATAACGAACATCCGTTGTACCCCTCGTATACTAGGGACAAATACATAACAAATTATTGGTAGTGTATATATTGGTTGGTAGGGTTTAATATTGATCGCACTACACAACCGAGGATCAGCCCAATGGTCAAGAAGAGCAATGGAAATAATAAAAGGTTCAGAGGGAACGAGTTCCAATGGTGACCACACTTACCTAAGATTTAATATCCTACAAGTTTCTTCGGCAACTAATCGATCAGTAGAGTTAGCACTCTATCATCCATCCCCTTAACTATATCTTCTTGAATGAACAATCATCAACCTATTTCTTAATTTACTGAAATTCAGGTATTCAAACAAGGATTTGTTGAGATTTATGATAAATTCACATCTGCGTAATGTATCTAATATGATGTATATATTTTTTTGCAAGATAAATACTAAATGATACAATGAAAAGAATCTGAGACTCTTCCTATAGAAGATCCAACTATTTAACTTTATGTTGCACTATTAGACTTTCCACATGTCTGATTAAGGGTATAAACCAATCATAGCCGGCCTCTGAACAAAAAGGTTGCCTTCCTAAATGGATCAAATGACTCGAACAATCGAACTTTGAACAGAACCTAATGGTTAAATCAAGAGAGCCCCCATTTTTCTTGCTTACCTTTAGTTTTCATTGACCTTCTACAGTAGAAATCCTCCTAGTATTGAATGAATTGCACCGACTGCACTTGTGTCCCAAAATGTGAAAACGAACATTGCTCGTATGGCTACAGTCGTTGCAGAGAATCGATACCTGTTTAACCCGGTAGTTGATTAAGTTAGACGATTTCTGAAATGCAGTGTGGTAACGTAAACAAGCAGATAAGCAACTACCTCATGGCTGTATTCCTCAGGCATCGGTGTGCAGTCAATCTAGAAAAAGATAGAATAGAATTTAAAATTTAAGATAATATGGAATGCCAAAGGTCTACAGTACAGTATACACATTTAAGAAACCAAAGAAACTTCGGAATATCAACACTGAAATATGACAGAAGAAACATGTCTTTACAAATATAAAGAACCACCACTCGGTGACCCGAAAAGTTTAGTATTCAACAGGATCGATTTTACCATAAATATCAACTGGGTAATGGGTAATGGGCAAATGGAAAAGTACAAAATTTAAAGTCGTAAACAGAGCAAGTCAAACCAAAACAGAAAGTATTAATCTCTCATGGACTGCTTCTTTCATCTTGCCTCTCAATCCCTCTCTCGCAATTCAACTGAAATGCATAACTAAAACCTTGAATCTACACTCATTTTCTTTCTAACAGACAATCACTCCAGTAAGATTTCTAACGAACAGACCAATACATGTAACGAACAGACCAATACATGTAATCATACATCACGACAAAAAGAAAAAAAATGAAAAAATCAGTCAGAAGGTTGAAGAGTGGGGGTACAATGTACAATGATAAGATACAGATTCTAATCTCTAAGGTTGCTAAAATTTATGTGAAGCCACCCGTTCTATCGTGTTCACTAACTGGGGAAACCTCTCTAAGAATTAAAACGACAGTTGTCTAATTTCCTTCTACTTTTCATTTTTATCATGACTGAACTAAGTGTTACACACCTCCATTTTCAGCAATGCCCAGCTTGCAGACATGTCCATAACTGTCTTGGAGCAGATAGGACAACGGTATCTGAGAGGCAAATATTACTACATTAGAATAAGAGAACCGGAAATCTTAATGTAATTCAAAACAGGAAGCTTAGAACCTGTTTGGTTTGAGAATAAAGACAATGGATATAACAGAAAATAGAGTTGTATTTTGTATTTGCAAAGTTTTTAGAAATATTTTAGTATATTCAGAAACTGGATGTTGAGTTAAGAATTCAAGTACTGATTCTGTGATTCCATCTCTCTGAAGCACTCCAAATGTATTGTGTGACCACAAGGCATAACAGTTGTGTCTTTAATTGAGTCAAAAAGAAACTGCAAGCATCAATAAAATTGTTAGAAGAAAACAGTTAAGATTGTACCTTCCTGGGAAAATATACAATCTAAAAGTACAAACCTCATAACAGATGGGACAAAAACTTTTCATAGAGTTCTCAACACACATGTGGTTATCGCGCAGCGGGGTGGAATAGCAAGATCCTGTACTTATAACAAAATGTTAATCTCCCTATCGACCCACCTCCCAAACACAAAAATAGAACAAATTATTCAATGAGGCCACCTCTTAATAACTGTAAGATGTAGATCCAAAAATAAGTTATTGGATACAAAAATGAAATACTTTTATAATCTCTCTCTCGCACGTCTTTGTTCAAGCCAAAACCTTTGCAACTCCTTCACTCAAACGCTCAAATCAGATCTTGTGGCGCCGAACAAGGAGGAAGCAGCAGAAGAAGAAGAAATGGGGCAAGGGTAAGCAAAAGGAGAATGTGAACAACATGGTTTCATTTGATAATGGAACTTATGACTAGCTTCTTTTTGAAGTTACCAAGTACAAGCTAGTTCAATCCTTTCTGATTGGTTGAGGATCAATGGCTTGCTTGCATGAGGTTCTATCAGAATGATCTCAGCTCATGTCAGTCAACAGATCTACACCAGAGCAAGGACACCTATAGCTAACTCATTTCACTTGTGCCCTAAAGGAGATAGATGTGTAGTTGTCTTTCCAATTTGCAATTCCAAAACTTGTTCAGTGGTGAGGTTAGCTTTTAGTTTGTTATAATGGTTGGATGAGCTCTAAATGTGTTATTAAATATTGTCTTAAAAAAAATTCCCTCTCACACATCCAAAAGGGCAAACTGTCCACGACTAGTAGATATTGTCCTTTTTGGACTTTCCTTTCTGGGCTTTCCCTCAAGGTTAAATGTGTTATTTAAAACGTGTCTGTTAGGGAGAGGTTTCCACACCCTTATAAAGAATGT